CATAGCTTATTGGTGTGGATATACCATCCAACCTGGGCAGTAAGCATGTGAATATATAAGCAACTCAGGGAGCTCATGTGATTCTGGGCTTTAATTAGACTTATTGCACTGTGGCCAATGCTGCCCCCTGGTTTTATTGGTCCGATCCAACGGTAATCCGCCTCTATAGTTCTGGGGGGATGGGGATAAAAGGGGGAAGGGGGAGCATGAAAACATAGAAAGTAGTAAGAAATGAGCAGTATGGGAGAAAAGAAGGAGATCCGGTATTGGCCCTCTGGGAAATGGTCAATCCCAATCCCTATTACCCACCCTTCCCAAGCATCAGTCCCAATATAGGGATCAGGTATCAGAGGAAATAGAGTGTTGTGGGAGTGGGGTTGGTCAAAAATGTTCTCCTTTACAGGAGAAGAGCAGTAAAAGAAAGCTGGCAATATGGTACAAGAGTCGATAATAGTAATCGGAAGAGTTGTTACTCGAGCTGTTGTTCTAAGAGCTATTAGAAGGTGTTGCTATTAGTCTACAGTATCACGATAGAGCTTGGTGGATTTTAAATGAATCCAACCCATCCAGGTTTTAAGAAATTTAGATGGTGAATCTTTGGCAGTACATATAAGTTCCTCCATCTCCTCCATTCTGTTTATTCGTCTAAACCATTCTTTAAGTGATGGAACCAGTGATGAGCCCCAACGTAAGTGCAGGTGAATAGTGCAATAGGTACTGGGCAGGTGAGAAATCTAGCAAATCCGAGGTAAGTTGGCCTATTATTGTGTGTACATTCAACCAGAAAGATTGGAGCATGGGGCATTCCCACCACACATGCAGGATAGTGCCCACCACCTGGAGGCATCCCCAACACTTGTCTGGTAGACCTGGATTGATCTTGTGTAACCTGTGTGGGGTTCTCTACCATCTATACAGCAGTTTATAGTTAATTTCCTGTGCCGATACATTCACCGTAACTTTATGTGCCGTATGAAATATTTGGGTCCAATTGTCGGGAGAAAATTAATTTGTAGGTCTGTGGACCATTTTGGACCATTTTGGACAAGCTATCCCCACATCAGCCGGTATGTATCCAGGAGAGCATGTACAGTGGATATGACATGACTGATTTCAAGCACAGTTTTTAAAAAGGTGTCAGACCACGTGACACATGTGTTGAGTATGGTGGGGATGTAGGGAAGTGCCGAAGTTGAAAATAAGACCATTGGGGGAGTCGGTTGTAGCTCCGCAAAATGATCCTAATCCCTCAATCTTCCCGCATCAAAGAATTGGTAGGCCCATAGGGGTTCATGTGGCATGAGTTCAAATCTGGGAGTCATACTGGGCTGAAAATCGGGGTTCAATCTGAGAGGGGTCATAGGGCCTGGAATCGAGGATATTTCAGTATGCTTGCATGCTACGTGAAAGGTGAGGATAGGCGGTTTAATTAGAGGGTGGGTTTTAAGAACAATGGAAAAGTGTCTAAGAGGCAACCAAGGGATATTTCTATGTTATACAAAAGATAATGGCCTTAATTTGGACATGGGATTCCTCACTCATTACTAAACCTTTTTAGGACTCCCTCTGTGACTGTTGTCCCAACCCCCCCCCCCCCCCCCAGTCTTTGATTTCCACTCTGCCTTACCTCTAGTCTAATCCTAGTTTTATAACCATTGCTATGTACATTTGTTTTTGTGTATTTTGCTCTGGTTTTTTCCCCCCCTTCAGAGATGATCTCTTTTAACATTCTGCTAAAATGTAATGGCACACCTTTTTAAAGGTGACTTACCTTGGTGTTGGCAGGATTACAGGACTTGCAACTGTCATAAATATGGGGAAAATGGGGAAAAGGTTTTAGACCTGTTTCCACTGTCCCTTGGGCCCCATAGCAGCCAAAGAGACTGCTATTACTTTAGTTATGCCCTTGCTTATAGCTAAGGTAATATTTCTTCTTTGTGAAAATGAAGCATCAGTAGTTCCAAAGTCTTGACCTTCCTACCCATTCTTTGGCATAAAATTAATATCTTCTGTTGTAAGATATCAGTGCTATAACTCAGTTCAAACCTGCTGACACTAGAGAAGAAGCTGTAGAAGTTCAAGATCCATGACTGACTAGTACAACTAATCATCAATAGCATGCTTCTGCCTAAATTAGTAGGTAAGATTTACAGTCTTCTACAGGCTGATGACTCAACTTCCTTTCACCACTGCCTTTTCCTTATTAGCACAGCTTGTCTGACAATGTATTACTCTTACAGCACCATTGCATATTCTAATATGTACAGTACATTAAAAGGCAGCTTTCCTAATTATTTCCTCGGACCATCAGCTACTGTACAGGAAAGTCGCTGATCTAAACTGACTCAGTGCAATTTGATAAATGGTAAGAATGTCTAGAATGGAAATGAGTAAAATTAGATCTCTAAGTTAGGGTCCGTTTTATGCGATTTAAGCAGATATTTTAGTGTGAAAATTAAAAGAGAAACATATTTCAATTTAGACCACGCTTTTGAAAAATTGCCACATGGATTTAGTATGCAATACGGTATTTAAGATGAAGGGATAGAATCAGACTTCACGAAAGGGGAAAAATAGAGAAGAGTTATTCAGTACGTGAGCAGCACAAAGCTAGGATGATAAACTCATAGAGCTGACAAATGAGCACAAGGCTGAGAGACATTTCAGTGTTCTTGGTTCTCAAATAAGAGAGAAGGAACATTTTAGGCTACATTGCAATTTAAGGATGATATTGTGAGCCTTACAAGCAATATCCATTTTTACAACTTCCTATCATACACAGGGACAAAATAAATGATATGGGAAGAGCCAAGTGAATAAGTCTCTGGGCTCAGAATAGATCTGGTATAATTGAATCCTGGCTATTTGTTCTTGACAAAAGCATAAATTGTGCAAAACCTTACAGCGGAGACAATTAATATTTTTCCATGAAATATAAAACGTATCTGAAGATAAAGGGCTTTTCTCTGCAATGAATTCATGTGCAGACTCATTACATGTACTGTCTAAAGCTTGTTTTTGTGTTCTGATGCAGTAGACTGCTGTCCTGAAATGCCATTCATAGCTAATTGGTATGATTGGAATTTAAAAAAAATTGTTCAATCTTCCACATCTGGATCTGATACATGCATCAAGCGTGGCTGCATTATCTGCAAAAGGGAACATACAATACATTTGCATAGTTCCAAACCACATGGTACCTCTGGAACTTAAAGTAGAAGACAATTTAATAGAAAAAAAAAGATTTAAAAAATGATTATAAGAAACAGATGTTCAGGACAATTAAAACTAATAAAGTTTTTTTTTTCTGCAACACTCACCTTCATTCTGGAGCTACCCCCCCCCCCCCCTCAGATGTTTCTTTCCACAGCCAAATGTCCTCAGTCTCCCATGTTGAATAATATCCCAAACTGTATATCCATAACATTGATTTTAAAATGTATTGGATATTATTTATTATGTCTGTCAAGTTTGATTGCTGTCCTCGATTTCATCCTGCTTCCACGTTTGCCAACCATCCATTAAATCATGCACTGTCTGTTGAAAAATAGTCGTTTGCTGTCATCCGTTATCACCAGTACAAATATCCTCTCTAATCGAGCATTTACTTTCAAACTAGACACAGTGCAGTTGGAGCTTGGGGAAGCCTTTTACCTTAAACAGTGGGGACACTAATTTGCAAGTGTTGGAAAACAATGCTCATGTATTTTTGTACAACAACTACATCAGTAACATTATCCCGTAGAGATATATTCTTCAACCAGTAGATGGCAGTGTTTATAAGTTTTTAGCTGTATCTATGATAAAACTATATGTCTTTTCTCTGAATAAAGCTCCTGTTTCCTATTTGCAGAGAATCAGCAGATAAACACATGTGGACTGTGCACTGTCTGTTCTGTAGGGCTATATATAGAATCTCTAACATAAAGCATTTGCATTGTGCACATCAATCTACTTATATGAGGCTTCTATGATTAAGCCCAAAAAAGGCAAAATGCATCTGAGCAGTTCTCTACAGGTGGAGAACAGGAGCTAAAGCCATCTTTTACCCATCTCATTTATATTTATGCAACAGGAAGTTGGAATTTGTGATGGCCACCAGTTTGTTGAAGTCCTATGTCAGGAGCATGCATTGGTCCTGATGACAAACTATAGAACTGAACTTGCTGCTCTTCTACGGAAACATTTGGTGAAGAAGTGTCTGTTCTCCATTTGATAACAGTGAGAGCCAATGAGATGAAAGAGCTAATGGGTGGGTGTGGACCCTGAATGATAAGCTGCTGGGATTTTTCTGATATATTTGACATTTGTTTTCTTTCTCCTTCTTGCACTTCCCCACTCTTTTCCTATCTCTCTCCTTTTTTCCCAACCCCTCTTTCCACACTTTCCCCCTCTTTCATCCTCTTTTCTATCTCTTTTTCTCTTCTCCTCTCTCCCCTCCTTCTCTATCTTTATCCTTCCTACCCCCATCCTCTCTTTCTCTCACCTCTTCTTTCCCTCTCACCCCTTCCCACTCTACATTTATTCTTCCCCCTAACCCTCTCTCTCTAACCCCTACTCTTCCCGCCTTTGCTCTTTCCACTGACATCAAGGAGATTGCAGCATTTTTCCTCCAACTAACATCACCAGTGCTTGGGCCACCACCACAATTAGCCCTATATTTCACTGTGGCACACTAAGTGCTCCACTAATAAAATTCAGTTCAGTTTGTTGTGGTGCATTAAGCATGCTGCAGCCATTGCACCTATTTTGGCGCAACACATGCCGCGTGACTAATACTCTAATACAGGGGCGGACTGACAACTCCTGGGGCCCCTGGGCAATAGGGGATCATGGGGCCCCTGTGTCCTTGCCCACACTCAAAGCACACCCGAAAAAGCCTATAAAAAGGTGCCAGGGGCATTTTTATGGGGCCCTCTATTGACCCTGGGCCCTCGGGCAGTGTCTGAGTGCTCAAATGGTCAGTCCGCCCCTGCTCTAATATCGGCATGGCCAGCTACATGCTCTGCTAAAAAATAATTTGCTGAGGGGGGGCCCCCTGTATATTAGTGTTGTGGTTCTGCATCAGCTTTATATGCAATGGCTTCTAGGCTCAATCCCCAGTGAAACCGTAAAAAAACATTTATTGGTTATTGAACAGGTAAAAATGGTAAAATGTGAATACAATTATAAAATATGTCATATTGAAGAATGTGGTTATCGAAGCTCCTCTGTTGAATAGCGTAGCTAACTGTAGTTATTATGTAGTTAGCATATCTGTTTTTAAATTCAGTCCCCTATAAAACCACAAAAAAAAAAGCTTTCGTTGATCTTTGGAATAGGTAAAAATAGAGAACACAACTTAAAATGTTACCATACTGTAGTAAAAGGCCTGGGTTATACTGCATAACTTCTTATATAGTCTAGATAATTTAATAAAACTAAATATAGTTTTATATAATTATTATCTGAAGTTTCAATCATCAACTGTGTTCTTTGGGTCAATGCAGGTACTATTAAATGATTTATAAAAAACAAAATTATAACGTTTATATACTGTAGAGATAAAAATGCTTCTAGCATTAATCATGTTCCTTAAGGAACATAGGTATCTGAGAGATTGATGCTTACCTGTTGTTGACTCTGTGTAAAATAATACAAGATATTTATGCTGTGAAAAAGGTAAGTTTAATTAATGATCCACATTCAATCAATTCATGTAGGAACCAAGAAATAGATAAAATGTACAATGTAAGAAAAATGTGATATTTAAAAAAGGTGTAAATATGTACCTGAAAGGGTTTAAGTGGAACTTTACTCAGAAAGTGAAGTACTTCTCATTCAACCCCACCCCCCCAGCCTGTCTCTTAGTTGCAGAGTTTTTTTGGGGAAGAGGGGAGTATCGCAGACCTATCGAAGTACCTACCTCCTCAATTCTTTCCTAGGTGACGATGACTTCACTTTGTCCCACCTCTTCTCACAGCCTACTAGGAACTGTCACAAATTCCCAGGAGGATGCAGTACCAGTCTCCTTGCCCTGTGTGATGTTTTGGATGATTCATAAGGAAGTCACAGCCTACTCCTAAATCCTATACTGAAATGATGATGTTGGCCTCTCCTGTATCTCCAGCCCAGGCCTCATTGAGAGTGGAACAGAGGGTGCCGAGGGACAGGAGGAACAGGAGTGCCAGCAGATGTTGATAGGAGATCCTGCAGCAAGAGATGCAGTCCCAAGAAGACTGGTGAACCATCAAGTCAGGAACAGCAGCCGTGCTCAGTAGTCCAGCTGAGATTAAAAGGGCACTCCACTTGTGCTGCAGGCCCAGGACATGTGGCTTGTCAGAGCTTTCAGCACACTGGCAGCCAGAACACTGGGCGAGGTACAGAACTGCAACAGCACACAGCCGGGCGGGCACTCGAACAGGTCAGGAAACCAAGATTGGAGACAGAAACGAGGTCACAGGATTAGCCAGGATCATCAACAGGTGGGCAGCAAGGTACCAAATCATAAGCAGAGTCAAAGTCAGGAACAAGTCGGGTCAGGAACTGGTGACAAGTCAAGAGCAGAATCCGAGATCAGGTCAGGGACAAGCTGGAATAACAAGGGAACACACACTGGAGGAACATAAGACACAGTGAACAGCTGAAGACCAATCAGCACTGACAGCAAGAGCATCCCTTCAATAGAACATCTTGAGCCAGAAACTGTGGGCACTCTCCCATCAGCATTCCTGTGCACATGCGTGAGCCTATGCTGACTTCTATTAGCAATGTGCCTACGCACATTTCTAAAAGTGATGCTATGTGCATGTGCATATCTATGTGTCAGTCGCCATACTGGAATTCCTTGACACGGTGAGAAGACAGCAATGGAATCCTTGGGCTGGTAAGCATCTGTTTTTAGAAGTCACTAGCTACAGTATTTGTAGCTGCTGATTTTTAATTTTTAAACTACTGGGAGAAGTTTCTCTTCATTCCAGAATCTTGAATTGATTTCTTGGTAGGGGCATATCTTTAATAGTAGAGTTATTCCTCAGTTAACAGACCCAATAAAAACGTGAGTTTATTGAAAAAAATGTTGGAAAAATGATATGCTCTTAATGTGAACCCCCTGGTGATACCTGCATATTGCGGTCCTGCACTATTGAACCCTTTCTCTGTTCGGCCATTTACAGAATCTGCTTTTGGATTACTAGTGAACTCTCTGAGAACCACTACACTCAGCAAAGTACTTATGTAAGACACACACTGCTGACTGATAGGCTCAACCTGGGGAGGTGGACTCTATTTCTGGCACATATGGTCTCCTGCACGGGTCAGTTGAAAGCTATGACACTATAATACTTTGCTCTAAGTATAGTTTGCAGTGAAGGTGTAATCATTTGTGAACTAACTTTTCTTGCTTAATGAAATATTAACCACTTCAATACTGGCCACTTTCACCCCCTTCCTGCGCAGGCCAATTTTCAGCTTTCAGTGCTGTTGCACTTTGAATGACAATTACGTGATCATGCAACACTGTAACTAAAGTAAATTTGTATTATTGTGTGCATAGAAATAGAACTTTCTTTTGGTGGTATTTAATCACCACTGAATTTTTTATTTTTCACTAAATAAATAGAAAAGACCAACAATTTTGAGAAAAAAAATTGTTTTTTTTTAGTTATAAATTTTTGTAAATAAGTAAGTTTCTTTCTTCACTGGTGTGCTCGGATGAGGCTGCACTGATGGACACTGATAGGCTGCAGTTATGGGCACTTATGAAGCTGCACTGATGTGCACTGATGAGGCTGCACCGATGGACACTGATGGGGCTGCACTGATGGGCACTGATAAGGCTGCACTGATGGGTACTGATGAGGTTGCACTGATGGGCACTGATGAGGCTGCACTGAAAGAACACAGCTGATCACATGGTAAAGGGCCACTGTGATTGACAATTACCCCGATCTGTGATCAGCTGTGTCCAAAGGAGAAAGCAGTCAAAGAACACAGCGCAGAGGGCGGGGTAATGGAAGGGCATCCATGGACACCTTTCCAGAACTAGACAACCAAGCTGGTGGTCGACGAGCAGTTAAGCGCTTATGTCTGATAAAAATGCGACTTTTACTGTTAAATAAACTGTGCGATAGATTTGTAGAACTGGCATTTACATTATTGCATGAGGAACGAAAGAGGATTTGCAATGGCACTTTATATCAGAGGATGTAAAATGTTATAATAATTTAATACTAAATATGTATGTTTTATTTAGGAACCTGGCTCATACTTGAATCTATTTGATAGAAGTACTGATACAATGTAGTGAAATTCCTTCATAAGTAAGTGCTGAGCAAACTATTGGCGCTATATAAATCCTGTATAATAATATTAATAATAAGTAGCAATTGCCTGAAAAGTTACAAATATGTATCTGATCTTTGATTATTACATACATTTTTAAATAGTAGAGCTGTAAAGTAATTGTATTTTACTTTACCTTGCTCTCAGAAGTGAAAGTACTTAAATATACAAATAGCCTCGAGAAGGTGAGATAGCATAAAAATATGGAGCAGCAATCAAAAAAAAAAGGCCAAAATCAAAGATTTCTGTCAGGTAAGATTTTATATATAAACTTGAATAGGTGCCCCCAAATTCTTACATTTAATTATATTTCTTAAAATTTAAAAAGGGATATAAGTACACTGTGTGGGAACCAAATGCCTTTGCAAACCCAGATCATAGGTTGGAAAAGAAGCAGTGACATAATCACTGGGCAGCACATAGGCTGTTCCAAAATCAGTGCCATGGAGGGGTGTCTCCTGGACCTTTACATTCCCTGTGTTGTGTACAGTATGTGCTGAAAAAAATGCATTTCTCATTATTCAAACCTTTGCATTCATTTGGTAGAATTACTTTTTTTGGGGGGAGGGGAGATGTAGCTAGGGTTTTATATGTATATTTTTATTTTGTATTTAGGCCTTTTCATGCCAGAGCCAGCTTGCCTGCACCCCACAGAATATAGGTATGACCGATTATGAGGAGCAGCAATTCCTAGATCCTTCTACCCATTTTACACATCCTACATAGTTAGGGGACATACTATGTGGTCTAGTTTAAGACAGACAGGGAATTGTACAGCAAATGATCCACTACAGGTTGCATTCAAACAGTATGACAGATACAAGACCTGGCACCCTGCATTAGGAGCATAAGAAGCAGTGAAGTGTCTTTATTACAGGAAACCCCAGCCCAGAACCACAATTCAGGAGTGGTTTCATGCTGGATTACTACACAAATCTGGAAGAAATACACAAAAAAGATAAAGATTCAAGTAATAATACACATGTCCATATTATTAGAGCAATATTTATTTAGACTGGAGTTAGGCTTTAAAAATATAGTTAGATAAAAGGTACCAGTACTAGGGAAATCCCTAAACCACATATTGCTATATTTCAACCAAACCTGGGATATATTCAGAAAATACAGACCGTGGAGTAAAAAAAAAACAACTGTGGAACTAGCATAATAAATCACTTTCACACAAGCTCTCTTTTACCTTTCTAGCTGTAGCCATGCTGAATTATTGCACAAATAGGAAATAAATCATAAAGGAAAACAAAAAGAAGATCAAGTATGAATACAGATACATACTGCCTTCTAATCTCTAGTGTAAACAAAAAATAGGAGAAATGGAACATGGAAGAAGGGTGAGCTGAGCTGCCTGAAAGAAGGATGTAACCAACAATGGCACTTTTGCTGTGAACTTTGAGGTTGAATTGCTCCACAGTACCTGCAACTACAAAGATTGGTGAATGCTTGTTTTAAATCTCATTTACTGCATTTTAGTAATATGCAAATACCCAAATGTTCATATCTTTGTATATAGATTCTTTAGTGAATAGAGTCTTTAATGGTTTGTGTAAAAGGAGATCCCAGACAGAGAGTGCTATATACTAAGCAGGACTAGCCATGATTTGGGGAATAGGAATGAGTAAATCTGCCTGGGTTTGCATTGCAGATAGTTTATCAAACCCTGTATGAAGTTCAAAAAACCCAAACGTAAAGTGTTGCTACACCCACAACACTAAAGTTAGTCTGTATATGCAATAAAGCATGCTTGTTATACTCACTGTGGAACCTAAGGGGTTAATCCTCTGCATTGTGTAAAAAGGCTGTTTGATCCTTTCTTCTCTGATCCTCCCCTTCTTCTACTGTCCCCAATATACTTCTGATAGAACAGAGGCTTGGAGGCAAGCTGTACATGCTCAGTTTGGTGTTTATTGCTGGAGAGATTTTTTTTTTGGAAGAGTGCATGTGATCAGCACAGAACCAATCAGCACAGTCCAGACAGAGGGTCAGAGGTTCTGCAGCCTCATAGGGGAGAATAAAAATTCCTCCTACAAGCTTTAACCAGTTCTCTGCTGGACACTGATAGAAGTCACACAACTGCTCTAACTGCTGCTGAGAAAAGGTATTTAGCAGTTTATATTTACTAAAATAATTGCATTTCTGTGTACTTTGGAAGACCAGATATAGTGAATGCAGGGTTCTGGGTTTAGTAACACTTTAAAAACAAACTCAAGTCAATGAAGTCAATGAAGGCAAATCTTGATACCACATTCTGGCTTTTTTTTTTCAAGATTGAGAAACAAAATATTGTTGGAAAAATGTATGAGGTACTGTACCTGGGCGAAAAAAAAAATATGGCTGGCAGAATGTCCACCTTTTAATGTGACTTTAATAGCAACATTGGGAAAAATGCCAGATCTTATCACTTCAATCTTGGGAAATGCCTATACGCTGGATGTGGTATTATAGAACAATATGATTTTCTTTTCAATAGTTTTTTTATTAATTGTTCAATAAAAAACATACAAATAAAAGTCAAAATGTCCTTTTATGTACATTGCTCGCATTATGTAATACGCATTATATGAATACCTACAGGGTACATACAGTTGTGTTCAAAATAATAGCAGTCAGACATCACTAACCTGATCAATCACTGTTTTTGGTAGAAATGATATTTCTACAGGGCACATAATTTACTAGCAGATGTAGTAGAGTAATAGAAACCCAACAGACCCAACAGTCATGACATGCATGCTGCTGATTCTGTGTAATTGAATCACTAATTGAAAGGGGCATGTTCAAAATAATAGCAGTGTGGAGTTCTATTAGTGAGGTCATTCATTCTTTGAAAAACAGGTGGCAATTATTGCCCTTATTTAAGCAAGGAAGGCAGCAAATGTTGTACATGCTGGTTACAGTGCATTTCTCTCTGAAATTCTGAGGAAAATGGGTCGTTCCAAACATTGTTCAGAAGAACAGCGTACCTTGATTAAAAAGTTGATTGGCGAGGGGAAAACATATAAAGAAGTGCAGAAAATGATAGGCTGCTCAGCTAAAATGATCGCAAATGCTTTAAAATGGCAACCAAAACCTGAAAGACATGGAAGAAAGCGAAAAACTACCATTCGAATGGATAGAAGAATAGCCAAAAAGGCAAGGACTCAGCCAGCAATCAGCTCCAGGAAGATCAAAGAAGGTCTAAAGTTACCTGTGAGTACTGTTACAATTAGAAGACGCCTATGTGAAGCCAAGCTATCTGCAAGAAGACCCCGCAAAGTCCCACTGTTGAAAAAAAGACATGTGCTGAAGAGGTTACAATTTGCCAAAGAGCACAATGACTGGCCTAAAGAGAAATGGCACAACATTTTGTGGACTGATGAAAGTAAGATTGTTCTTTTTGGGTCTAGTGAAGCATGGTTGCGCAAGCATCATGATATGGGGATGTTTCTCATACTATGGTGTTGGGCCTATTTATTGCATACCAGGGATCATGGATCAGTTTGAATACATCAGAATACTTGATGAGGTCATGCTGCCTTATGCTGAAGAGGAAATGCCCTTGAAATGGGTGTTCCAACAAGACAACGACAACAAACACACCAGTAAACGTGCAACATCTTGGTTCCAGACCAACAAGATTGATGTTATGGAGTGGCCAGCCCAATCCTCGGATCTTAATCCAATAGAAAACTTGTGGGGTGACATCAAAAATGCAGTTTCTGAGGCAAAACCAAGAAATAGAGAAGAACTGTGGAATGTAGTCCAATCATCCTGGGCTGCAAAACCTGTTCACAGGTGCCAGACGTTGGTTGACTCCATGCAACACAGATGTACAGCAGTTCTCAGAAACAGTGCTTATACAACTAATTATTAATTATGTGATTCAAAGGAAAGCAAAATCTTCAAACATTTTTCAGTTTATATAGTGAATGTTTGAGTTTGTAAAGAAGAATACAAACACTGCTATTTTTTTGAACAGTCTAATATTCACTTTTCTTCAATTTTTTTAGAGGAACAACACAAATTTGATACATTTTTCTTCATGTTTTGATTTGGAATATAATGTGTAGTGTTCACTGTGCATTTGTGTGTATGAAAAAAAAGCTATTAGAAGGATTTTCAGCTTTATTCACTTTTTAAACAAACTGCTATTATTTTGAACATAACTGTAGCTCCCTTTGCTATTCACACAAAAAAAAGTAAAATGGCAAATTAAAACAGCCACACCTTAGAAAAGGTATTTTTTTTTTCATATTCCATGATATAAATGCAATGTCAGTCATGTGGTCCATTGATATAGATCCATCATCAAGCACACTGGACAACCCAGTGACATAACGACGTATGCAACAATGATCCTCGTCCATCAGACACCCATCTCAAATGACAGCTCACCAGCCAATTGCTAAATGTTAAAGCTAAATTCTAGGCTAACAAACTTATATTTAAATATATTCCTCATAAGTAACCATAATAAAAATCTTCTTTTCATGTACCAAATACCTTTGCAAACTCATATATCACCTTGGAAAAGTTATGATGATATCATCATCACCAAGTTGTACATTGCCTGTACAGGAGGCAGAGTTGTGGGAGGGACCAAGAAGGTACTACCACTGAGGATTGCCTACAGAAAGCTATGGGAGGATATGATACCAGTCACCCTGCATAAGGAGGAGGGGCGGACTGACAACTCATGGGGCCCCCGGGCAATAGGGGATCATGGGGCCCCTGTGTCCTTGCCCAAACTCAAAAAAGCCTATGAAAAAGGTACCAGGGGCATCTCATGGGGCCCCCTACTGACCTCGGGCCCTCAGGCGGTGCCTGAGTTTCCAAATGGTCAGTCCACCCCTGACAAGGAGACACTGCAGACTGCCTACAGAAAGCTATGGGGGTGGGATACAAGACCAGTCACCCTCCACAAGGAGAGAGAGTGGCAGTGACTGGTCTTGATACAGGAACTTTTTTCTGCATGATGACAGTGAAAAATTGAGTCTGTAGCAGCAGCAAGGATGTTGAACTCATTAGTAACCTAGGACTGGTTCATTTTAATGAGAGTGTCCATGTCAGGGAACAAGTAGATTCATCTCTCAGTACCAAAACCTCCTGCCTCTCTCATGGCCCTCTCAGATAGCACCTTGGCTACAGGTAATACCAGAAGCTCCAATTCACACTCTGCGAGCTCCATCCAGTGATCCAGCCTGGACACTTAATAGTCCATATTGTCCACACTACTAAGAATGCCATCATCAGCACTCAACCTGATATAGTTGGCAATTATATAGCTCAAGTGCTGCCTACGAATGCTGTCTACTGTGTTTCTACTGAGGTACCTACCATTACCAGCAGAGATCAGAGAATTGGGGGCACATAATTAATGAGAGGTAATTCTACCACTATCACGAAATGTAGCCAAAAGATTCTTATGTAGCGTTTTGTGTTCCATCTGGGATGGTGTCAGTAGATTGGACATTTTTATTTTGTATTGGGGATCCAGGAGGATGACCACCCAACAGAGGTTCCTCTGTTTCATGCCAATAATTCTAGGTTCTATGTGCAGATGCTTGAGCATAAAAAGTTTAAAGGGTTCTTGGTATCCTAGAGGAGAACACTATAATATGTAATCTTGCCCAATCATGTACAAGTCTTGGGGTTTAGGAGATATAAACCTCCTTGAAGCCTGCCCAATTTCCCCCTCTTCTGCACTGACTGCACCCCAACACTACTTTACCATCTCCGCCTAATACTTTCATCTCTCAAGCTGGCCCAGGAGAGCTTCCAGAATCTCTGGCCTAGTATGACTCCTGTCACCTAGACATATCAGTTGCAAATCAGCAAGGCAATATTGTGCCTGGCATTTTGCACATGCTGTATGTTTCATGAGAGGAAAATTCAAAGGATGAGGCTATCGAAGAGGAGGGAGTACAGAGTGACCGTTCTGTCACCAATGTACTAGACAAGGGGAGGCACCGCTAACTCCAAAACAAATTAATGGTCTACAAGCTCTTCTAAAGCTGGGCTCACACTAGAATTTTTTTAATTTCTGTTCAACCCAGCAGGCTGAAAGAAAAACCTGAGAGTTCACAGTACTAACACAAGCGATGTTCATGCTGCAGTCTCCTTTGCTATGCCTTAGTGTTCTGACAGGGAGACTGCCCCCTGCCAGAACATACTGATCAATGGCTGCCAGTGCTGATCGGATGTGGGTCAGATGTTGGATTTCCAGCATGCTTTTTTGACAGGAGCCTGCTGTAAAGCCAACTTCTGTAGAACAGACAGCTGTACACATGGGCCGAAAGTCAAACGGTTCCTGATGAACGGACTTTATGTACCGAGCTTAAGTACAAGAGTTCACAGTAAATAAAGAGCAGAAAAAGATGTACTGATTATATTTCAATGGACCGGTAGCTTTAGAAAAATTATAGCCAATTCATGTAGCAATGAATAAAGAAAAAATAGAGCTGTGTCCCCAATTAGATTATCTATTGTATACAAACACAAGTTTAAAAAAATATAAAATATTCATAAGAAATTACAATATATGCAGCATTCCAATGTGTATGACCCCACTTTACTCAATCCACAATAACATAGACTATTGCCCAGATACCTCACAATAACTGGGGCAGATCCATATATATTGGTTCCAAAAAGGAATATGATTTTTTAATATGGGGTAGAGATGTGTCAAAACATTCTTTATAACTGAATAGAGTATAAAAGATGCTCTTTGGATAGTCACTGATTAAACAGATTTATACCTGTGGGATACATCCTGTGCTATTGGATTTTTAGTGGGTTTATGTAGGAACAATAAAAAGACTTCTATTAGATGCTGCATCCCTTCCAAGTTAAACAGTGCATCCCTGCCAGCTCTCCAGGAGTGGTTCATACGTAGCAGAAATGGAAGAGCTGGTCAGTATTGCACATGATACACACACCAAGTTCACCAAGATGTGGGCCTGCTGGCTCCATTTTCAGGAATTGAAAGATTTCACCTAAATATTCCCAACCTTTTCACAGACAATCTAAGTGATTTAACAAGGAGAGGAGTGCACTGGATATGTGGGAGACAGAGGCCCCTCAGGGCTCTTTTTCACCCCTCTTTTACCTAACCCTTTGCTATCACCCCCTTCATTCACCCACTCTTACCCCCTATCCCACACCCCCTATTTTTTTTTCTTTTCTTTCCTCCCTCCTTCCCCTCTGATTCTTGTTGCAAATTTGAAATCTGTCATTACAGGCTTTTGCTTTTATTGTTGGTATACTCTTTATTTTACATTCTTGTTGGAAATAGTTGTTATCTAAACGTTATTACTGTAATGACATGTACTGAGATCATTATGATTCTTTATTGTCTAAAAAAAAAAATAGAAAATTGGCTTCTCTGTACTGTACAACGTTTTGTTTATACACAATGTTGATTAATCTGGCTTTGTTGCAATGTACCTTTTGTATGTTTTTCTATGGGAAGCACCTATCTTCCAACATTCTTGGATATGACTATGTACTGGCATACTCTTTCTGTATGTTTTTCTTTTAATTGTCTTCTCAAAAACTGAATAGGATTCCTGAAATGCAAATACAAAAAAAAAGACTTCTAGTAGGAGAAGGGTGCTGAAGATAAAGGTCAGTAAACATGGTGGATATAGTGGGGTTGATTTACAAAAGGCAAATAGGCTGTGCATTGCAAGTGCACTGAAAGTGCAGTTGCTCTAGATCTGAGGGGAACATGCAAGGAAAATTAAAAGAAAATGCATTTTTGCTTGCACATGATTGGATAAAAGAAATCAGCAGAGCACTAGCAATGCACTAGCAGGTCGACTTGCGGTGCACTTGCAGCACAGTATATTTACCTTTAGTAAATCAACCGCATTGAATATTTAGACGGACACAATGCAATCCAAAATATTATAGTAGAGTATAATACTGTATAGCAGAAATTAACTCTCCTACCCACAGACTGTCAGCTCTCCCTAAATCACTCCAACACTCCAATATTTTTTGAGGGGGCTGGCACACAGCAAAGTCCCCATTATTAGCCCTTCTAAGCCATCTGACCTATGTTCAAAGATCAGGAAATCCATTGCGATCAGTTGTTTTCTATGGTGGTGAAATAACGCTTTAGTTCAGTGGGCAACTGGGAATGGGTTGGGTTCACCTTGAACCCAAATCCCATCCTTATTGAGCAGGTAGGAAATGCCAAAAATCTCAGATCAATAATTCGAATTCAGTGTGCATCTTGGTTCTGAGGGTCAATAAAAATCTGGTTGTAGAAAATAAGAATATGTATACAAACTTTAGGTGCTTCTTAAAAGATAATCTACAAAGAAAATTAATAAGGATTTGTTGACAACAGCCTTACATTAAATAGATTACAATTTGTTGCAAATGTTGCAACATTAAGCTACAAAAAATATCCTTTTTCTACCGCCTTTTGGATATATTTAATTTTCTCCACTATATGCCGGCAACATGCCGATGTGGCTTCTGTTTCATCACAGCAAGAACAGTTCTGCATTAAAGTTTTGATAAATTAAAGCATGAAGGATGCGGGAAATAAAATCCCAAAAGATTACTCTACACAATAACTTTTAATGAGAGATACCTTGAAGACCCTGGGCATCCCAGGAATTACACAATTAGAAATGTCAGAGAAGAGGAAAGAAGAGGATCCCTGTCTGTTGTTAATATCCTTAATTAGTTTACTATGCTTCAGTGTATTCATATAGATATATTGGGAAACTATTCTCTGTAAGCAAATAAAACAGACATTTTATGAACAGATGGTAATGTTTGTTTCAGTGCAAAATCATAAGAGAAGTGGTGCTTTATATGCTAAGAATTTTATGAGTGGGGACATTCATAAATTATATGAAGATTTGTAGAACTGAAGTGTAGTATGGTGTTAACCACAGATGAAAACAGAATGTCTAGAGAAATAAAAAAGTGAAGATTTTGCTGTCTTATGGGAACATCTATAAAAGTTAATTTAAAAATATGTAAACCCAACAATTCATATTCCCAATATGTGCCTGCTGTACCATGGTTTTATATGCAAAAGTATACTGTTCTTTTTGTATTGCTCCCTTTGTGTGAAATCCCTGGTGTTCCTGCCAGTCCCTCTGATTTCCTAATAATCATTGACCACATTAAGCAGAACACACTGTCACCAGTTTTCTAGTTGTGCTGGGGGTACAGCCTGCTCTCTACCAATGATCAGACTTGTCCTGACATGCCCCTCTCCCCCTTGTGCACAGCCTTTCAGCGGGAATATCAGTGTGCCGTTGTTTTTTCCTCCCCCAGCTTTTATGCAGCTGAGAACAGAGGGAATGTGATCATATATAACAATGGAAAATGGTATTTATAATGTTTTTTGAATCTTTACACAAATGTTTTGACTTTCATTTCTATTTTAAATTAAATGGCTTGTTTTACAAGGTGAGGGTTTACAATCGCTGTAACCCAAAACAACATCCTGAAAATCATTTCTTTTATTCCTCCTGACAAATAGCAGTTTTTTTTTTTTTCCATGCCTATGCAACCCTGTGCCTTAAAGTGGTAATAAACCCCAAAACAAAGTGTTTATATTTTTCAGTATATCAGTCCTTAAAGTGGTAGTAAAGTCTTGAAATCTAAAATCCTCTGCCAAGCAGGGTTTTTATAACAGAAGATAACCTAGAGTCCTCTTCTGTCATAAATGTCCTCCCTGCCTGTTAGCGGGTAACATGATCTGAGTCGTACATGAGCAGCTCACACCACATTTAGCCAGGATTCACACTTGTGCGTTGTAGCATATCGCATGTGATTTGCACAGGAACCGCACCACATTCCTATGCAAATCACATGCAAATTCTGTGCTGTGCAATTTGAGCCATACATTTTGTAAGGCTTAAATCGCACCGCATCCGCACCAAAAAGGTGCAGGACCCTTTTTTT